TATTATAACCTTATTATATTTACTATTTTATTTTTTTTATATAAATATTAGTTTTTATTATTTAATCCTTAATTTTAAGTTTTCTTTTTATTAAATACTTTACTTAGTTTAGTAACCCTTTTGCTATTTATTTTATTTTCTTTAGTATTTAGGATTTTTTTTATTTTTAATATATTTAAGTTTTTTCTACTTAAGGGTTTCTTCCTTAATTTCCCTTTTTCTTATTATAGTTAGTATTTTATATTTTAAGATAGGTTATTCTTTTAGTATTAAGTTAGGATAATACTTTTTAAAGGTTTCTTCCTTATTAAGAAATAGGTTATATACCTTTAATAGTCTTAAAGTTATAGTAAAAGTAATGCTAAATATATTATATTTATTTTTTCTAGTTATATTAACTATTTTAATTACTAATTAGGGTTTATTATTCTTTCTTATAGTATTAATATATTTCTTTCCTTTAGGTATTAGTTTATATTTTTAATTAGTTTTAATAGGGTTTTTATATTTTAAGTCCTTATATCCTTTTTTACTATAGTTTTAATAAGTAAGTTTAAATTTATCTTATTTAACTATTCTAATTTCTATTAGTCTTACTTTAGTATTATAAGATATATTATTATTATATTTTTATCCTTACTTAGTATTATAATAAGGTTTATTATCTTATTATTTATTATATTAAGAGTTTTAGGTTTTTTAAGTAAATTACTAGTTATTAATTTAGACTACTTAGTTAATATAGTCTATTAAGGTTTTAAGTCTATCTTCTTTATATAACTTAACTTATATTAGTTCTTTAAGTATATTAAAGAAGAATAATATAAGTATATCTTAATCTTAAGGTAGTTTAGATACTAACTAAAGGAATTTTACTTTAAGCTTAAATATAACTTAAGTTTATTTAAGTATTTTAATTTTTCTTTTAGCTTATCCTTTTTTATTAATAGTTCTAAATGCCTATTATAAGGCTTTCTTAAAAGCTAAGTAGTTAGTATATAATATATAGGTTTAAGGTTTAAGAGCTTTTAAGTCCCCTTTAATAATCTAGTCTTTAAGGAGTAGTTAAAACTATAATATAGTAGTGCCCTTAAGGCATCCTAATATATATCTAGTTTTATTTACTTCTTCTATAAACTAAGTTAGATAGTAGGATATAAAGGCTTAGTACTAAGTAAGGAATATAAAGAGTTTACTTAGAGTTCTATTAAATATCTTAGGCAGATTAGGCTTAAGGATTTCTCTAGTATCCTTACTATAAATAATAATATTAATAAGGTTATATATTTCCTAAAGTCTATTTTAGTTATTATTAGCTTACTAGGCTTAAAGGTTTACTACTTTAGTAAGTATTTAGTAAAGCTTTGCTATTTTAATAGTTATATTAGAAATTTACTATTAAAGTTAGATAATATTAGAGTTATTACTACTTTTAGATAAGTTATTATTATTTTCTCTTATATCCTAGTTAGTAAGTAAATTATTATTAACTAGAGTTAAGGTAATATTAGTAGTAGTATTTTACTAAATAGGGGTAATTAGTATAGCTATTATATTTATATTACTTAGTATTTTTATATAATATAATCTAAATAAGAGCTATTAATATATAATAATTAGGTCTAATTATATTAAATTAAGCTATATTAAGTTTATTATTAGCAGATTATATAAGGCATATATTAAGTATTATTAAAGTATTACCATCCACAACCCCTCTTTCGGCATAACCCCTCTTTCGGCAAGCAAAATAAAAAAGCCACCACCAAAAATCAACAACTTCACTTACACAGAACTTGACCGAATTGATAGAAATCCGTGAAATTTTTCGTTTCATAAATCATAAATAGGGTTTATCTATTGTACTCTGGTTTTTTTCGCCACCCGCCGCGACCGCCTGGGTGGTTGGTGGGGTATGTTTTCCTCTCTGACTTCGATGACAGAACCAGCCTCCGATTCTGACTCTTGCTCGCTTGAAGAGACAAATTCCACCCCAACAGGCATATAACGAGTCGCCCCTTCTGGTATGCACTCTTTACTAGCTAGAGTCTCTCCAAGAGTCATAAAACGTTTGTTAGGATTCGGCACCGCCTTCCTCTTCTTCCCTCTTTTCAGCCGAGCCAATTCTTCCTCTAGGCTGGCAATCCTCTGCGTATGCGCCGCTACTGTCTGCTGTTGAGCTTCAAAGCCCTTGGCTATCACGTTATACCGTCTCCGCGTCTTTGGTGTTTTGTTCAACCCAAGGTCACGAATTTGACGGCTCGTCTGTGGCGTATCGTCCGAGCCAAGATAAGGCCTGGGTTCAGGAGTCACTCTTGGGTTGCCGTTTGGCCCATCTTGTTGGATTTCAGGGTGCCGTAACGCTTTCGCACGTGAAATTGGCCAGTTCCCAGTGACCCTCCAGCCAGACAGTATGTTCTTCTTGGTCATTCCAACTCGGCGAGCCTTGGCGTAGGCCCTGATGAAATTGACCTTGTCCATTGGAGCGGAATCAGTCAACGAAGCGAACTTTTCCAACTCTCGTCGATATGCAGCCTTCGACGCATTAAATACTCCATTGTCCAGTGGCTGGAGTCCATGAGAGCAGTGTGCTGGTAGATAGCAGCAATAAACGTTGTTCAAAAAGCACGTGGCCATCCATTCATCCTTCCATCACTCAGCACTGATCTTGAGGTGGGGAAAATAGTGAACATACTGTTGCATGGCTTCCATGACCATCTAAAATGATCAGTCTCGCATCAGAGTCGTCGGCAGGCGTAGTCTGGGGCAGATAAACTCTTTCAAGCCATTCAATGCCTATGTGGTCATCAGTCCACCCGTTGGGCGATGTTATATAATACCAGTCTGCTATCTGCTTGAACTCATCAAGAAACCACTGTTTCTGGAGTTGTTTCCCCTTGAATATTATGCCAGGAACTAAAGCGCGGCCGTCAGCGGTGATAGCTTCGATGAATGAAGTCCAATTCCGAGTTTGTGGTCCCTTGAGAAACGCCTTGCGCTTCGGGTCCGCGCTTCCAACGACCAGGCTATCTAGACCTGAACCCAGAGGGTTAGTCGGCCAAAACTCAAGCATTGACAGGGAATAGAGGTGAATGCTTGCCGAAACCAGTCATAATACCCCCCTCATCAACGTTGACGGTGTTTTCAGGCTTGATCCAACCATATTGGCCCTCCCTGATATCAAAGTACCAATGAACCGCTCTAGGTGTGAAAGAGTCGAACCTCTTGGCTTCTTGACGTCTGCCCATCTTGGTCTTTAGGTCTGCACGGCGATTGATAAACTTGTTCACCCAGTTGCGTCCTAAGTCGGGATGTTCGCCCTGCTGTCTCAGCAGGCCCATGACGCAAGCGCGGATCTGACTGTGGGACGGAGCATAGCCCAAAGACTCCTGACGGAGTATCCAGAAAGCGAGCCTATCCTCTTGGCTCTTGGACAAGCGTCGATAAGGGTGGACCTGCTCTTTCACGGCCCCGCGGCCGTTAAGTCTGTCGATTAGAGTGCTCCGAGGCACTCCCCGTCTCTGAGCGGCTTGAGGAGGTGAAAAACCATTATCAGTAACATCCAATATGGCCTCTGCCATATCTTCCTCTGTGTATTTCCATCGAAGTCTTGACCTAGGCATTTTCATATGTTGTCGCAGATAAAGGCCAAAAAACACAGAAAAGAGCGGTGAAGAACTTGATGATCGAATTAACACTATTTCCATATCACGGTATGCATACATCGCGTACCCCGCACAGCCTTAGAGGGCTACAATCGTTAACTCCAATCATTTCTATAATCAGCAAAGGCATTGTCCTCCAAGTAGCTATTTATTTTGGCCAATATTTGTGTAAGTGAAGTTGATGAGTTTTGGTGAAGCTTTTTTTATTTTGCTTGCCGAAAGAGGGGTTATGCCGAAAGAGGGGTTGTGGATGGTATATTTCTTAATAATAAGTTTAATATATATTAGGCTTAATTAATATAAAAAAGTTATATTAATAGCTAGTAAGCTAGAATCTATAAAAGTGCTAATAAATATGTTTTATATACTTATAATAACTTACTATAATAAGTCAGTACTTATATATAAATTATAAATCTAATTATAAGTCCTATTAAGCGGCTTATAATAAAGATAAGGAAAAAGCATAAGTTATTAATTAATTAGGGGAAATTTATAGGTTTTACGTAACGTAACCGCAAGGATTATAACAGTAGTGGCCAAATCGTCGAGAAGTAGTAGTTAGGGAAGTTTGGTGTAACTAAGGGAAAGGCATTATAGAATATACGGCAAGACTGGGCATAATGCAAGAACCTATTAGGTAGTAACTAAGATATCTAGGGAAGAGAATAATAAGTAGGTTTAATTAATTAAATAGTTTATTATATTTTTATAATAGTTTATCTTTTAAAGGGTAAGATTTCTGGCCTACTTGCTTATTATATATATTAAATAATAATAAAAAATAACTGCTTAAATAAAAGTATATAAAATGCTAGAAAAATAAAACTATTACTATATTAAAGTAATATATATATATAATATCTTATTAAGTTTTAATTAAAGTTAATGGTTTTTGCAAGAGGGGGCGAAAACGCTATTTTGTATGGGATTTGGAGGTGCGATATTCGCTTATCATACACGTTATTCGGCATTTTCATGCTGTTGAGAGGTGGCCACTTAAGGGTCGTGGGCCTTATTCGGCGCTACAATTAACCCCTCCCACCCCAACTCCCCTACTTTCTTGAGCAGCCCTCGATGGCGCCGCCATATTCCCACATCAAGGCCAGTGCTGAAAGCGATAGCCTATGAAGCGGTTAATCGTGCTAGCAGAAAGTTACGGTCGCCTGCAAGCCTTGCTGACTCTCGTGCTGGGCTTTAACGTCCGACCGTTCTCAAGAACGCACACGCCATACTGTGAAGGAGGTATTCATCTACATGTTGAAAACCGCCACCCCCTTCAGTGGATGATGGAGCCTCTGTCTCCTGGATCCTGTCTCTTGTGTCTCTTTGCCGAGCTTGCTCGCTCTTCAAACCTGCTTTTGACTTTAAGCATGGGGGATCATGCAAATTGATCTTGTGTCAAGCAATCGAGTTAGCTGACTGAGCATTACTACCTTTATTTCTTTCCCATTGTCTTACTTTCCAGTCACTCATCTTTTTTCTCTTAAATCCTGCTGTTAATTGTTTCTTGTTTTTCCTGTAGCTCTTTTATCACCGGGCACCATGTTCGCCGCTCCGCACCGACTCGTCGCGTGGCTATCGCCCAGAGCTCTTCGGATTCCAGTCGCAATAGCAACATTTGTTGGGTGAGCCCATGAGCTAGAGAAACAAGAACATGGCAGAAACTGATCATGGCCGAACAGAATCCTCGTCTTCGTAACAGCAGCTTCTCTCCCGCAACCGACGCTTCCGAAGATCAAACTCACATACGCCAATGAGACCATCTACAACGAGTCCAAGGTCGCTCTCCTCATCGAGAACCGGCCGCAGCCCATCATAGCCCCCCTGATGCTCCAGTTCATGTACGCGATGCCGCCCGACTGGCGCTTTCGCTTCATGGGCTCCGACGAGTCTGTGGCTTGGGTAAACCAATCTGCCGCCATCCGTGAGCAGGTCAAGGCGGGCAAGCTTGACTTGACGTATATCCCCTCTAACATGAGCACCGCCGGCCAGGAGATGATCAGCCGCTTCTTGACGACCCTCTGGCTCTACGAAACGGTGCTGCAGCCTGCGGAGTTCCTGCTCGTCTTCCAGACAGACTCGATAATCTGCGCTAACAGCAAGCACATCGTGGACGACTATCTCAACTACGACTGGGTCGGTGCACCCTGGAACCCCTCAGGACGCTGGGGCGGAAACGGCGGACTTTCACTCCGTCGCGTGAGCAGCATCATCGACGTCCTCCGCAACCAGCGCCGCATCGACGGTACCCAGCCCGAAGACGTCTGGCTCTCTGAACGCCTGGGCGACCACAACACTGGCCTCGTCGCCAACGGTTCCGTGTCGACGACCTTCTCGGGCGAGACGCACAGGGGCATCGGCGAGATTGTCCCGCCGCCGGAATGCGACGGCGAGTATGACGATGAGGAAGAGTGCGTGTACGAGAGCATGCTCAAGAAGATCTCGGAGCCGGGGCGCCCGGGGGAGTGGGTAATGGGGCTTGATGACTGGCGGGATCAATGTTATGAGCCGATGGGGTATCACATCGGCGGCGCGAACCAGATGCATGGTACAGTCTGGGGTACCAAGCAGAAGAGGGATCATATCTACACGTATTGCCCCGAGGCGAGGATGATCTTGAAGATGGATTTTGCGGATTATGTGCCGGGCGCTTGTAAAGAGTCCTGGTAAATAGGGTATACAGGAGTTTAATTGCAATTATTTTCAAGATTGTTATCTTGTCAACGAGAAGTGAGACTATCACCTATACTAAGGGGGGCTCTAATTCGCCCATCCCTGCCTGTCGTACCTCCAGGTTAGGGAACGGGGGGTTAAGTTGCAAAAAGTGGATTAATTTGCAGAACACTGGTTCTTTGGTGGGTGCTATACTAAATTTGAGGTACCTTGATTTTCAATGCCTTTTTATTGGACTAATACGAACGTACCCCTTCAAGCACCTTGGCGGGGAGTTGCACTGTAAATAAACCCAATTTTCGCCACTGAACACGCCAACCCCCCCTTATGACGTGGGGCCATTAATTCATGTGATTGGCATGTGATGGGTTAATATTATTCTACTGATTTGAACTATTTTGGGATATCCGAGAAAAAAATACTATGTCAATACGAGACAACTGTTGTTCGTTATTGAATACCAGCAGCCTTCATCCTCTCAAAGCACTGCCTGTAAGCATCATGAACCTCAGGCACCTCATACTCATACTCCTTAAGCTTGTTCACCAGCTTGGTAGTGTCGAGCTTGCAGTTGCTCCGCCCGGCTTTGATGACCTTGGACTGTTCCTCGAGGCTAAAGTTCTTCCACGTGTAGTCCGGGCGGACAATCTCTTTGAACAGGCTGAGCACCTCATTGTGCGAGATGGCGCCCGGGTTGGTGAAGTTGTAGACGCCCGTCTCGCGGTGCTCGGCGAGCAGGATGGACGAGGGGAGGAGATCGTGGAGGATGCTGTTGCTGTTGGGGATATCGACGACGCGGTCGTACTTGACGATCTTGGTGACAAAGTTACGGGGGTGGAGGTCGTCGCTGACGGGCATGCGGAAACGGAGGATGAGGATGCCGTCGTAGCATGCCAGGATCTGTGAAGCTAGGTCAGACAATTGTCGTGCCATCTTGATATAGATCAGGGATACTTGCAGGCTCAACATGGCCCTTGGTCATGGAGTAGAAGCTTCTAGTAAAGTTAGGAGCATCCTCCTCCTTGAAGCCAGGGCCGCCTATGGGATGAGCCTCGTTATACTGGTAGATGCACCCGGTCGCAAAGATGGTGCAATGAATACCTCGTTGTGCACACTGATCCGCGAGCGTCAGAGTGCCGATCACGTTGGAGCGGACCGTCTGCGCCTTATTATCCTCGCACCAGTCGACGTTGGGTCGACCGGTGCAGCCGGCAGCGTTCAGGACGTGGGTGGGCTTGATCTTCTCAAGCTCCTGGGCGACGCCGGCGGTGTCTTCCATGCGGACAGAGGTGGTGAAGACTTCCTTGCGTTGCTTCTCGAGGAGGTCCTTGAGGTGGCCGGCGACCCAGCCCTTGCCTCCCCAGATGAGGAAGCGGTTGTTGGTAGAAGACATGGTGAGGTGTAGGTGTTGGATACAGACAATTGAGTGAGTGAGCGAGAGAGTTGCTATCCAAAATCGGAGAGCTATTGTCAAGTGGCGATGACGGGAAGCAGACTGTTCGAGCTGAAGCAGATCCAGAGCAGAGTTCGGGAGACCTTTTCCTTGTTCTTAGCCGCAGCTTTAGAACAAGCCACCACTTGGTTCACCACCCCCGCCATCAATTGCCACGCCCCTACTTGTCCCCTCCAATCGGCGACGGTCTTCAGGAAACACCCCCGTCTTTCGATACGTCGCACACGGGAGTTTATTCTTTTATTAGAAAGTGGTTGAAACTAACGTAGGGGTGATCAATAGGTGAATCAATAGACCCACCAAGAACCGCTAATCGCAGCCAGCCCACTAAGCAGGAGGTACTCTGCAGTTTTAAGTATTTGCTAAAGTTTCATGGGTCGAGTCTGCCATGATTCTCTTCCCGTCTGGCCTCAAGCTTCTATCCAAGCTAGTATTGAATCCCCTGCTAGCTCTCCTTGATTGTTCTTTTTTTCTTGTCTCTGCTTCGGGCTCAACAAAGGTTTCGTCTCGAGTTATCCATTACCAGGGAATACCTTCAACGGTCGCATCGTGAGTCAATACACAACGATAGGATCTGAGCCAAGTGGCTAACATTTTCATTTAGCATCCACAGAACTCGACATGCGGTACAACTTTCTCCAAGACGCCGACATATGGCAAGATGCGCCCATCTTGACGGGCAGCACGAAGTTTGAGCCACATCCAGATGTCAAGAACATCATGGTCACCGGTGGAGCAGGCTTCATGTAGGCACAAGTCCAAGCTGGAATTCTGATGCTAATGCAAATGCAAACAGTGCTTCCTGGCTGGTCCGACATCTTACTCTCACGTATCCCGACGCATACAATATCGTCTCCTTCGATAAGCTTGACTACTGCGCCTCCCTTAATAACACCCGGGCCCTTAACGAGAAGCGCAACTTTAGCTTCTATCAGGGTGACATCACTAATCCGGTCGAGGTCGTCGACTGCCTCGAGCGATACAACATTGACACCATCTTCCACTTTGCCGCTCAATCCCACGTCGACCTGAGCTTTGGCAACTCATATAGCTTCACCCACACCAATGTCTATGGAACTCATGTCCTGTTGGAGAGCTCCAGGAAGGTTGGTATCAAGCGCCTGATCCACGTCTCCACTGATGAGGTCTATGGGGCGGTGAACGATGATGACGATGATCTGCTCGAGGCCAGTATCCTTGCGCCCACTAACCCCTATGCTGCTAGCAAGGCCGCTGCCGAGATGCTCGTGAATTCCTACCAGAGGAGCTTCAAGCTTCCTGTTATTGTCGTTCGGAGTAATAACATCTACGGACCACACCAGTTCCCCGAAAGTAAGTACCTCTTGTCGATTACAGAAGGGTGTCAAGCTGACTCGAATTCTTCCTCCTCTACAGAGATCATCCCCAAGTTTTCCTTGCTGCTTCACCGAGGCCAGCCCGTGGTCCTTCACGGAGACGGCAGCCCAACCCGCCGCTACCTCTTTGCAGGAGACGCCGCCGACGCCTTCGACACCATCCTGCACAAGGGCGAGATGGGCCATATATACAACGTCGGCTCCTGCGACGAAATCTCCAACATCACGCTCTGCCTTAAGCTCCTCGCCGAGATAGGCATCGACGACCAGAACACGGCCGAGTTCAAGAAGTGGGTCAAGTATACCCACGACCGCCCCTTTAACGACCACAGATACGCCGTCGATGCTACGAAACTGAAGCAGCTGGGCTGGACGCAACAGACGAGCTTTGAGAAGGGCCTGAAGCTTACGGTGGATTGGTACAAGCGGTTTGGCGAGAAGTGGTGGGGTGACATCTCGGCCGTGTTGAGCCCGTTCCCGCTCGTTGTGAACAAGAATATGAAATCGGATAACGAACCTATCAGGGATTCGCCATGAGTGGTGTACTGCAGAAGGTAGAGTGAGATACCCCGGAGGATTTGTATTATTGGATGAGCATCGGTGTCTGTTGGGTATACTTCTTAATACCGTGTGGCATGAGATGTTACGTTTTACAAACTGGCTTCATCTAGGACTTTGCCTTGAGATTGAATTGCTAGTGATATCTACAAGTCTCGAAGTCTGTTCACTAACGTCTTGTCCCATTCAGGCAAACATAAGTCGTGGAGGTGAATACAGTCTTTAGAGGTGTTTCCGGGCTTCCTGGGTTTTATCTCCAGATCTTGAAAAGTATAACGAAGGATGGAGTTATGATAGCAACTAATTTCATATCTCAGCAGTACTCTGTCGTTTATCCATTGTGAACTTTTACTTTCTGTCCGTATTGGAAGCCACGTCAATGGCATCTTCTCAACCTTCCTATTGCTGGGAGCTATTGTCTGTCTTTCTTGCTTTTCTTCGGCCTCGGGGTCGTAGCACTAACATTGGTTGTGTATCTGCTTTAATAAAGTTGGTCTGACTACTCTCAATCGTGTTCTCCTCGGCTCCTCCGTTATGGTACCTGGCCGCCAACTCTTGTCGAGTAACTGCTGGTGCTGGTGCTCATGCTTTGTCGGCCCTATGTATTATTCGCAGGCAATTTAACTTAAATCGTTCACTAAAACGGGGTCGTAGAGTTAACAGATTTAGCTTTTATAGCTTTAGCTTAAGTCAACTCACCCAACAACGCACCACCCCCACAACACGCCACTCCAAAAATCGCATCTCATTCTTCCTACGGTCCTAGTAAATACAAGAATTGCCAACCCGGTATTAATCTACGTGCTTTCAAAGTCAGGATTTCTCACCTCAATACAATCCTCTGCTTCGCTAGATTTTTCTGACCCCGAATCGCTCAATGTTGAACCTTCCAGGTCCGAATGAATATCGCTTTCTCCACCACCCTCTGCAGCCAACCTTGCCTTCTCTGTCTGGACCTCATGCAACTCAACGAAGTCCTTGTTCGGATCAGGAATAACTCTACGTCGTTTTTGAGGTCTTGCCTTTTCTAAAGCATAAGTCTGATGGTCAGTTTGAACTTCTGCAGCTGTCAATTTGACGATATTATCGTCAAGTGCCTTTCCAACCTTCCGAAACAACAAACGCGCTGCAGACTGACCAAATGCTGGATCAACAGCCATAAGTGACCGCTTGAGTTTGACAAGGTCTCGGGAACTTTTCGGCGTCTGAACATCTACCGCACTCATTTTTTGAGCAAAATCTGGTGCAGGTGGCGTTGGAAATGCTGATGTAGGTGCGTTATTTCAGGTCTGTGTCAGGTATTGAGAGTCCGAGGCTCCAAGCCTTGTTGGTGTTAGTCCAAGGTCATGTGGCCTCAGAGCGCTTTCTTATGATTGGATGTACCCTTCTTTCCCCTTTGCTCCCCCTCTTTCTGATGTTCAGCCGCAATTTCAATCTGTCATCATTCTTTTATATCCCTCTTAACCGCGTGGTCATAATCATCAGCTACCCATAACCCAATGGAGAACTCTTCCACCTCCGTGCAGTCTTTGACAGCACGTGGCTCTTCCAGAGTGCATGTCGGCAATAGCTATAATACAACGAACCACTACCACGACAAGTCTGATCAAGATAAAACCAATAAATACGTGGAGGCACTTCGCTCCACTGATCCTCGCGAGGACAAAGTCCGGATTGAGCAGACAAATGGTGGTCTACTAAAGGATTCGTATGTATGGATACTGGAGAACCCCGAGTTCCTCTCATGGCGCGATAACCAGCACTGCCGGCTCTTGTGGATCAGAGGAGACCCTGGCAAAGGGAAGACGATGCTCCTGTCAGGTATAATCAACGAGCTACAACCTTCCACAAGACTTGAAAGCCCAAAGAATCACATCTCGCTATCATATTTCTTTTGCCAAGCCACAAACTCTGGTCTTAACAACTATACATCGATACTACAAGGGTTGATCTACCTATTGGTCACTCAACAACCACCCCTCCTTTCTCATTTGCAAGACAAGCACGGGTATGATATGACCCATTGGAACTCTAGGGTTACACTGGAAGACGTTTTTCGCAAAATCTTGGCTGATCCAGTCACCGGGGAGATATATTTGGTTGTTGATGCACTGGACGAGTGCATCGAAAACCTTCCCTTGCTCCTTGCATTGATATCTAGCACATACTCTCATGCGAAGTGGATTGTGAGCAGCCGCAACCGCTGCGAAATCGAGGAGCTTTTAGAACCATCTACATCAAAACTCGCAGTCTCTCTAGAGCTCTATGAGCTGTCTGTTTCTAAAGCCGTAGACATTTACATCAGCTACCGAGTTCGCCAATTAACCGACATCAAGAAGCTCAAAGACAAAGTGGCGCGACAAATCTATGATTACCTGTCGGAGCACGCCCATGGTACCTTTCTATGGGTGGCCTTGGTATGTCAACAGTTAGAAAGATGCCGGCCTTGGGAGATGAGCAATAACTTGCGGCGATTCCCCAAAGGCCTCAACCAGCTTTACGCCCGAATGATGGACCAAATCGGCATGTCTGATAGCTCTGAGCTCTATATCAGACTTCTTGCCATTGCATCAACTGTTTTTCGCCCTATCACCTTTTCTGAGCTAATAGCTATGGGGGACTTGGAGTTGGATGAGGAAACGCTTCCAGATGTTGTAGCCGAGTGTGGCTCTTTTCTGACGACAAAAGAGAAAACGGTCGTCCTCATCCACCAGTCCGCTAAAGACTTTCTTCTCACAGAGTCAGAGTCAACCATACGACTTTTCCAGTCTGGCCTTGCGCAACATCATTACAACCTCTTTGAAAGGTGCATCATCATCCTAAAAAGGCTTCATAAGGATATGTACCGTTTGGTCTATCCTGGAGTATCACTAGGTGAAGCTTTCAATAATTGCCCTAAACCGGATCCTTTAGATGATCTAAAGTATGCATGTGTTTTCTAGGTCGATCATTTACAAGAATCGTACCAACTCCTTACCAACGATGTGAAAGAAAGTGAATTCCCCGGCATTGAGATTGCATATAATTTCATTGCTGAGAAATTCTTATTCTGGGTGGAAGCACTTAGTCTCTGCCAAAACCTATCAGTGACAGCGAAAGGTCTACTTCTTCTCAAGAGGCTACCAGCGGTATGTTTATTGTCCCAATGGACGTTATTAAACTGACTCTGATGACTGTTGAATAGCCAGCCAATCTTCAACCAGACCATATAGCCCTGACTGAGGATGCCCTCGGATTCTTCTACTTGTTCAGCCCCGTGATTAAGGACTACCCACTACAGACATATGCGTCTGGTCTACTTTTCAGCCCAAAGGACAGCCTCCTCCGCCACCGATTCGAAACATACACACCAGATATCTTTACCAAAGTCCCTGAGATAGATGACAATTGGAGCCCATTCTTGGGATTTTTCGATTTTCCAGAGGAATCTTTTGGAATTGCCACTACGAAGTTCTCGTCTACTAGTCATGTACTCGTTGTAGCTACATTCGATGAACAATCGATCATATGGCAAGTCAGCGAAGATCCTGTCCCGGAAATAAGAAAGCACGAGAATACAGCATGGCCAACACCGTCACCATGCGGGAAGTGGCTGGCCGCTATTACTACGCAACATTCGGATGAGACGAATGAAGCTGTACTTGAAGCTCGTGACTTGAGCTTGAACAGGACCATTTGGACTAGGGAGCTTGGCAATCGCAAAGTTCAAAGCATGGAGATTTCTCCCGACAGTCAATGGCTTGCAGTATTATTTCAAGAAGAGCTGGAGCTCTATGATCTCAAAGCAGGCATATATCGAGTATGGCCACTTGAACTGGACCATGAAGGCGATTGTTTGATGTCCTTCTCATCAGATTGTGCCTTGATTGCGTTCGCACCTGTATATAAGTCACCTGCTATTCAGGTCCTGGATCTACATACGGGTACGCAATACAAGAACGATCATCCCAAGATGGAAAGCATAATGGTAGAATTCGTTCCCAATACGCACTCGCTCCTGTTTCGCTCTGACGAAAAGACTGTCCATGTATGGCACGTTTTCGAGCAAAAGTATGAAGAGTGGGGTCACTTCGAACATGTCGTTCACTGCCTAGCCTTCTCGCACTCCGAGTCGTGGGTAGCTATAGGAGGTCGTAATCGGCTTTTCCTGTATGATCGCGCTCAGCGAACTCTACTGAGAGAGCTTAAAGTGCCAACTGGGCCGACTCTGGAAAAGATCGCTGTTTCTTTTGATGATAAAAAAATTGCCGTCTGTAATCGGCAAGAGATTTGGGTCATAGACGTTCCTGCCCTTTTCGCTGGTAACCCTCGTTCTGGTCAAAAGTCTCGAGAAGGATTTCAGATCTCTGATGATGGGCGGTTGATAGCTTACAAGCTCGGTATGAAGATTGAGATATGGGACGCAATAACAAGCAAAATCTTAACATCGTTGGACATTGGTGATAAGTTTCATGCACTTCATGGAAGCGTCGAGATTAAAGCATTTTCACCTAAGGGTCGGCATTTGGCATTCCATGGCGCTTCATCAATCTTTGCATGGGATCTTGCCACTACTCACTGTCGACAACTGTCGGTACCCCGTACCCTCTGGAAACAAATGGCGATTTCTGACGGGAACGGTAATGATGGTTACTGGGTGGCTATGGAGGAAACCAAGGGCATCGTTTCTGCATGGGATGTCATGACAGGGAAACATAAGAGATCCTTTGAACATTATGATGGTAGACTTGGTGACCTACTGGAAGCTGTTGCAATAGCCTTTACCAACAGCCGATTAGGAGTTCTATGGCGCCTAGACTGGTTGGACTCCAAAGTTCCCGATGGCACGTTCCTCCTATACAACGTCGAGACTGGCGAACAGCTCTTTCGAGTTGATATACCGACTTCCCATGGTTTTGGTGGGAATTTCGGAAGCCTCCATCTCTCTAACAGTGGAAGGTTGGCTATATACAAGTCTTCCTGGGACGGAAAATCGGTTATATGGGATTGGAGAGTAGACATTTGTTCTGCTAAGGTATATGGCAACGACAAACACATTTTCTTCCTCGACGACTCCACCGTGTCCACCGGTGTGGGGTTATTCCACATAGACTCTATTTTCGGTAAAGTCAGAGACTCACATGATCAAAATCGTGATAGACAGCAAATAAGGAGCCTAGGAAATCAGGAACAATTCGTCACACTGGTCCCCGGGGCATACGGATATAGTATTGATGGTGGATGGTTAAAATTGGATAACAAGCCGTTGTTGTGGTTACCTTCGCTGTATCGCCCCAGTCGTACAGTCATAGGTTATAATCACATTAGTGTCATATCAGTATCTTCTACTATTTACTCTATTCATCTTAGAGAGGATGTAAAAGAAAGATTGAAAGTAAGTTATTTATAATTGAATTTAATTTCTTTTTAGCTAAGTCTGTATAATGTTGAGGTTGTTGAAATAGCAGTGATCATGCAGAGGGATAAATATACACACACAATAAAGAGATATATCAACCAGAACAAAGTAATGCATAGATCTGGCTCTGGTTTTGATGATGTTGGCGTGCTTAATTGATGGAAAGCAGCGAGTCCAGCAGGCTGCCGATCCATTCCACGTCCACCGTCCACGTATCCACGGCGTGGAAATGGATGGTCCGTGCATCCATTTCCATCCATTCCACCATTCCATGGAGGGGCACTCATACCCGCACAACCGGCTGTGCGTTTAGTATCACGTGTTTTTCGCACAACCGGTTATGCGGATAAGGCTGAATAGCTGACTTTAGATTAAATGCACAACCGTTATTCAACAACAACACCATTTTCAATCGAAATAGCCCATCAGAGGTATTTTTCATCTTCATGACTGCTTATCACTTCATATCTCATGCCATTGATATGCCATTTGGCCTCAATCCGCCGCAAATAACCCAGAGGTAGCGCAACCTTCCATCTCACAACATCACACAAGAACGGTCAGCTCAAGAATAGTTAGCTATTTATAATATTACAGATAAGAAGAGAGTCTCCTTATATTAGAGGGATTATTAATACTGATATATAGAAGGCCTCTCTGCTATAACAGCAGTATAATCAACTTAACGGTACATAACCTCTTCTTCTCGACTCGAATCAATGAAGGGAGATGCTGTATACAGGATATCTGTTATCATGCCTTCAGTTATACTGTATAGATAATTCTTCTATCACTCTTGATCCGTATAGGAAGCGTTCAATATAGCAGTAATTTAATCAGTAGATAAACATATAAATTAAGAGCTAAATTCTTTATCTTCCCTCCTTAATACTTCGTCTTCCTTCAAGATATCAAATAATCCAATAACTTACAAGTCTTTAAGCTTATACAGTTTCTATCTCTTTAATAATGGCTCCTAATAACAACAACAATAACAACTTTAAGATCTTTAAGGATAACACTCGAACTATTCCTTATACTATTCCTTTAAACCAAAACAACCAATTCATCCTACAGCCTGCCCTTACTGCAAATAACTTAAGGACTAGCTAAAGGGTATATAAGGCAGCTGGCTTCTTCCCCCCTATCCCCAGTCTTGTTCTTTATGGCCAAGAGAATCTAGGAGTGCAACAGCCAGTGCACAACGTGTTTAACACCAATAGTTAGATAGCCCAGAACGCTCCCCCAGGAGCCAATACAAATGTAAGTCTCCTGACGCCAGCATAGCTATATATGGCATACAACACCAGCTTTATTCCTACTAGGGCTCTAGCAACTATGGCGACATAGAACCAGGGATATAGCATTAAGGGAAACTAGCATGCCGGCCAGCTTCACAATGCAGTCAACTAACGGTTAGCTCGACCGGTCCCTGATGCTATGCCTTTCTGGATAGCTCAAACGCTATAACGGCAAGATACAGCATATTAAGCAGGGCCTCTAATCCCTACTATAATGTGGCCTACGCCTGCAGTTGGAATAACTATACATGCACCGACTTTGCAGGTGGCCTAGCAGAATGGCATATATATTAATTCGGTTAATCCACAGGGGCATATTATGTAGACTTAGACAGGCAGACAGTAGGGGGAATTAAGGATATTTAGGGTTACTTTCTTATATATATTTAGTGGCATATATGCCAGTTTAAATCTCTTGCTATATTAATGTTATCTACTCTATTAAGGTTATAATCTGCTTAAAGAGAAATATATAATTCCTTTACTTAATCTATCTACTTATATATATACGATTTAATTCTCTATATCCAACCCTATACCATCTTCTTACTTGCCAACAATATTAGAATCTAGCAGATTAAGGTATTGAGATATATATTAATTAATTTAGCTTTTTTTTCTTAATTTAATAATATATATATTATCCTGCTTAGGCGCAAGTAGCTAGTTATAAGTATAGGTATTCCAACCGGGATAATTAATTTACAAGGATTGACGATTTCGCGCGCTCTGACTTTACTAACTCTTAATTATTATAAATACTATGAAATAAAAAGAGGCACTTTAATCGCAAAGAGCTACTATTAAGTAATAATAATTATATTATTAAATTCATTAAAATTCGCTCTATCTATATATATCTCCTAATTGACTGTTGTCCCTCTGTATCTCATTTGGCATCAGGCTGCCTGACTGCTTGGTTATCTCGCCGGGAGAATCAGATCGCCTCCCTGCCGCAGCCGTAATAATATATAACTTGCAGGTCCTTGCCGGGATGCGTAGCTAGGGCCTTCTACTCCCAAAAGCTGCATTTCCAGTTAATCGGCATCATCATTAGATCTGTCATTATCATCAAGCCAGCTACGCATCTCCTCCAACATCCAATCTCTCAGTTTAAAGCTATTATAAAGCTTGACAAAGGGCCCCATCTGCTCTGACCTCCGGCACCACCGATACCTGACTGCATCATACTCCAAAGGCAGTCCAACAGCTTCTCTAAAGGTACAGTCAGTAAGAGAGGTACCAGGGGGCTGCTAGTTAAACCACGCCTCGCGAGATTCCTTATACTTTGCATATACTCGATATACAGGCTCTTAAAGGTAGTAGTAAGTCAGGGTCAGGGTTATCTATAGTATTAAGGCTGCAGCAGCAGTAGGAGATATAGACCTGCTTTATATATCTATAACTATAACCTCCTTTATAGTGAGATCTCGTTCTCTCTCTATGTTATTAAGCTCTGCTGCTATTTCGACATACTTCTCGGGGCATAGCCTTGAGTTTCTATTATAACCTTACTTATAACATCGAGAGCAGGTCTGTGGCTTCCTAGGCACTAAGGGAAGTAGTGCCTTTTCAACTCCTTCAAATACACATGAATCTCGCCATGTACTCGATGCCGGCTATAACTTCAAGGCTACACGGCAATCATCAACCTTACAAGGCTCAAATATCAGCAGCAGCATCCCAGATCGCTAGAGATACTAATATAAATAGAAATAGCTCGTCAACAAGGGCTCGTTTCCCTAGATCAATGGCATAAGGGCATGAGCACAAGGTATACCCATAGTCTTCAAGAAACTCCCAGTACATCGAGGGAGACTCTCTCCTATCTGTTCTCGCTGCAGATCGACCATAATCAATGCCTTATAAGATATCCAACCGCGGACTTGGCTATATAGAGCTCCTAACAATATCTAAGCGTGCTAAGTAGGTCTTGTTGCTTATTCGAGAGCCTATGCAGATTTCAGTATAGTTAGCTGGTTCGTGATTACTAGCTTGATGATTTGAAAAGCCTTAAAGAGGTCAGCCTTAGAGCTTTTTAGATAAGATTTAAGTAAGGAATAAATACCTTCTACTTAAGATATAATAAATTAGTTTAGATATAGATACTTATTTATAAACGCCTTAACGAACTTACCCTTATAGGGGTTTAGCCAGGTTAAGAGAAGGTAATCTACCTCCTTTAGATATAAATAAGTATACTAAAGCAGAAAGGCCTTCAGTCTCTCGTTATATATAGCCTGTGACTTTAAGGCTACGAGTATATGCCAACTATTATAAAATTCCTTCCATACCTCTTATCCCTCTTCATCATCCTTGCCCTTTATAAAGCCACTTATACAGAAGGTCAGGACTGCTCTATTAATATGCCAAAGGCAGAGCATAACCTTTAATGCTAGAAAGCAAAGAAGGGATACAATGGCATTCATGCAAGCAAGGCATCAATCAGTTAGTATAACTAAAGGATAAGGAATATCATTAGTATTATACAAATCTCATAACGCCCTAAGAGCCTAGGCGAAGTCCTCCTCTTCCTCGCCACTAAGATACGCAAATGCAATACAGAAGGTGCTCCCTGTGGCATCAACACCAACCATGTCGAGGAGGGGCATCTTATACTTATTAGTCTTATAGGTATAGTTAACTATAAGTACCTCAGGGTATAACCTAGCGAATTAGAGTGATTCTAGATAAGCAAACATAACTAACTGCAGTTAAGAGTCCTTTCTAATAAGGTAATAACTCCAGAAGCCCTATAAATCGAGATATTAAAGCAAAGCAACCATATAGCTCTATCTATTAGCAAGGTCTTGCTTTGCTCGAGAGATACAGTTTACAAGATCTAAGTCAATAAACAATGCCTCTGTATTCTGCAGTAAGTAGGTCTTAATTTAGCATTATTCAACGCCGGCAAGAGTAAGCTTTTTAACTATAAGGACATCTTCATTAGAGAGCTTTCGGTAAGTTATATGTGCAACACCACTTCCAACAGTAGGCTCATGATTATGACGAGAGTGGGAGGGATTAGGACGATATCGAAGACTCCATTCACTCTTATAAAGGCTCTCTTTTCCTATCACAGAGAACTCACACCCTGTGCATTAAGTGGTACGCTTCCTCTTCCTCTTAGAATCAGGAATTGGTATATATTTACCTCCGCCGCAGTCACAGCTAAAGTATATATGCAGTCTTCTATTTGCCATACAGATCATACGCCTCGTTACAAAGGCATATCCTTAAGCCTTTGCCTACTTATTAATATCTATAAGGAGGGCTTCTCGTAATAGATATAATGCCT